TAGTGCAGAGTAATACTCCATTGTGTATAAATGCCACATTTTTTTTTTATCCATTCATCTATTGAAGGGCATCTAGGTTGGTTCCACAGTCTAGCTATTGTGAATTGTGCTGCTATGAACTATTTGATAACGCCATCAAGCATATGCTAAGTCAAGCAGTATAGAAAATTTTAAAAAACTAACAAACAAAAAATCACTAAGCCTAGTTAACCAATAATGTTTAGAAAAGAGGCTGGGGCTAGATATGATATGATGGTCAATCAACGAGAAAGTCAAGTTTTAGACACCCCCTCCATCACCTTCCCAGGAACTTCCCACAGTCCTGATCTCAGCTGCCCTCAGGGGAAAAGGCTGAGGAGCACAGGACAGCAGCAGCATGGTAGGGGGTAGGATAATTCCCTTCACCATTCTGTCCCCACTCCACCCCCAAGCCTGTCCCCAACGCCTTTATGAGTGCTTTCCATTTCATCTTTGATTTAGGGGTGAGACTGCACTGCATAAGGCTGCCTGCCAGCGGAACCGGGCTGTGTGCCAGCTTCTGGTGGATGCAGGAGCATCTCTGAGAAAGACGGACTCCAAGGTAACTGGATGAGCGAGTGCAAACATCCTCCCTCCCTTGGGATCATGGCCACTGTCGCCTTCGCTGGAGCCCCTAGCACAGGCATCCTTTCTGTGCTTATGGAAGTGCCTGGGGCTTTGGAAAAAGGAGGAAAAAATAGAGTGTTTCCTTTAGAGAAAGTGCATTTTAAATGCATAAGCACAAAGGGCGGGTGTTGCTGGCCTGTGGCACTTTATAAACCTCTCAACGTGCTGGCCTTGGGACCTGGGGGTTGTTAGTTGAACTCCAGCAGGCAAATTGTGGGGAGGAGAGATCCAAAGCCCCAGGAAAGGGGTCAGGACTATGTTCAAAAACCTGGGCCTGGATAATGAGAAGTTCCTTGGGGATTTCTCTTTCAGTACTGAATCCGATGCCATTTAAAATCTGTTCTTTATGTGGCTCCTTACATGGATGCCAAAGTGATTACCTGTTGGCTCTTTGGAGCTTGGTTCCCAGCTTTGAGATGGTTACAGTCTTAAATCTGCTGTATTTCTGAGGCTCTCTATTTTTCTTTCATTTTTGAAAATTTCTTTCCATTTGTGGCTTTATAGTATTCCCTAAAAGTTAATCTAGAAATTAGATAGTTTCTGTTGGTACAGAAACTGAAACTTAAAGGAAGTTGAGTGTGCCCTTGGACTTACTCTTTGAACATTCAAAGAGTTGTTGTTTTAGCAGATTGGCTTTTTTCATTTGGCGACAGAATACCCTACTTTCCCAGAAGGATGACGTGACAACAAAGTTGGTTTTCATGCTTAGTTTGTATAATCTGTTTTGTTGCCTCACCCTGAGGCAGTGTAGCTTGAAATGTGATGGATTTCTTTGCAGCCAAAATTATATAAATCTGGATTTAGAGTGTATGGGTATCTTGAAGGTAGTGAGAACACCAAAGAGAAAGGGTGGAGAGATGAAGTAAAGGTGCAATTGAAGTTTAATAGAGTTGAACTTGGACTGAGCCTGGGGGGTGGTGTATCTACAGAAGATCAACCCTATAAAGAATCCTGATAAGCTCTGAGAGTTTTAAAGTACCCTGGGTAGACTCCAAGGAATGGCCAACCACTTACCCTAGAGTTGCAGAGAAGAATTTTAATGTATAGATGAGGCTTTCATTAAGCAAGCACTGAGTAATTTGGATTTTGAATAACTAACTGTAGCCATGACACATATTTAACTTAGAAGTTTAATCAATGATTTCAGCTCCACTAGACTATAAGTAAAGAGACTGCATATGTGCAGTTTTTGCCCTAGAAATGGCTCAGACTTCAGCAGGCATTGTGAAATAACAGTCTCCTGAGTAGACCTCTTTCCTTTCTGAGCTGGTTGGGTTGTTAGGAATCCTGCAGTTCCCTGGCAACACACCAGCATTCTTGCCCTCTTGCTGCATCAATTCTGCTTTAAGCATTTCAAATACACTTGAGCTGTGTCCCGGTTTCTAGCTGGTCAGTTACTCATCTGGCTAGCCAATTCAGTATGTTATTTCAAATGGCAGATAATTGCTCAATAGGATACTCTCTCCAGATGACCTTTGTATCAGAGGCTTTGATGGTTAACCTACCTGAGGAGCACGCACATTGTAGGCAGGATTAGACCAGTCCCTGTTGGGTGGGGTTGGCCTAGAGCCACTCAGAACACGCAGGTTAGCTGCCCATCTATCACACAAGTAAGGCTAGTTTCTACTTAATTATTAAAAAAGAAAAGATAGGAGACACATGAAATAAAGGACAAACTGGGACTCAGGAGACTTGGCCTGTGAGCAGGTAGCCCTTTTTATTTTTCTATTTTCTTCATCAGTTAAGTGGACTCAAGGTTCTCTGGGATTTCTTCTAATTTTGTGTCTTGTATATGTGTGCTTTTTAAAAATGCAAATAACTTCATTATTTTTATGACTATAAATATAGAACATTCTCACACAGAAAACTAATACTATAGAAAACACACACACACACACACACACACACACACACCCCCCAAAAGCAAAAATCACTAAGGATCCCACAACCTAGACCCGAATCCAATAAAACTTTTAGTGATCTCTCTTTATATGTCTGTCTATTTTTCCTCCATTTCTTTTAAATTGGGTGAAGTGATACTATATATGCCATATTGTATAACATGAGTTTTCACTCCACATTATTTATGTTCTAGGGTAAGTAATACAGCTCTGCTTCATTCCTTTTAAGGATCTTTAATTTAGGCATTCTGTAACTTAATGCTAGAACATAGTTCTAGAACACTGAACATGATAATTACAACTTGATCTTCTCCTAGAATTATTTTGGAAGAAGCAATGTCTCAGGAATTTCTCTTATTAGAGAAAAGTTCCTTAAAAATCAATTTGGAGTCCCACTAAATGGAACAGGAATTACTATGGGAACCTTAAGCTAGTGGTTAAATGCTAAATTCTAAAGTTTTAGAATGATTCCTGAGCCATCATTGCTGTTCTTAAATCCTCTACTTACATACCTTTGTATGCTACTTGGAGCAGGTTGAGTGAGGCCTGCGGTACTCACTGGGGTACCTGAGATGAAGACAAAGATGAAACTCTTTACTGATTATTATTCTTATTATTATTGGTACAAAAAAATGCAAACATAAATACAAATGCTTGGTGTATATATACAGATATACAAAAAGCATTATAGTAGGCTATAAGAAATTATGTAATAATTTAAAATATTTTGAAGATGTAATGACATAAAATCATGATGTATTATTAAGTGAAAAAAGTTATATAACAGCATATAGGTAAAGTGTGGTTTTATTTTTATAAAGAAAATTATGCATAGAGGTATAGAAAATGATAAAAATAACTTATGGAAGATGGAAACTGGTTTTCCTATTTTAGTGCAATGATTGGTGATTTTTATTTTATTATTTATGCTTTTTTTTTTTTACTTTTCCAAGATTCCCTTAATCAATATCCATCATTTTACATTCAGAAATCAATTCATTTTGAAGCAATTCAGGTAGTTAATTATAAATTGGGCAGAACTTAACTGAAGACTGAAACCAGCAAAGAAAACCTTTCAGATTACTTGTGAGTAGCCCTTCCTCTCAGCTTCAGCATGTCAGTTCCTAGAGTTTAATAGAATCTAAACTAGAAATAAGAGTGCTCACTTCCTGTTTTTTAATGCTGCTTTCTAAAAAGGGTCTGTGTCCCTACAGTCACTGGGCCACTCTCTCTGTTTCTCTCTCTGTAAAACTCTGCAGACTTCTGTTTTCCGAGGTTTAACCTCTCAAAAGTGATAAACTCTTTAACTTGCCAATCTCACATGTTGGATATAATGCTCATGAGAAGATAATAGATTTGAAAGTGTCTTGTAAACTGGAACAGGGCAAACATGGGAAGATCCTTATTAGTGAGTAACCCCCTCCCACCCCGGGTGGAGGGGGAGCTCTGTTTCTCTGATAACATATGCATTTTGTCTCACTCCAAGTGTTTGTGTCTCTCTCCTTCTCGCTGCTACCTCTAGGGTAAGACGCCTCAAGACAGAGCACAGCAGGCTGGGGACCCAGAGTTGGCTGCTTACCTCGAAAGCCGCCAAAACTATAAGATCCTTGGCCATGAGGACCTGGAAACTGCTGTTTGACCCTGGTAGATGGGCCAAGAGGATGAGTGAGCAAATCACCTGTGCCCTGCTGGCAGCTGGGCAGCTCCCCTGGAAGAAGCTGATGGAATCCATGTATCTGTCTGTCTCCTGCAAGAATCTATCTGAGACCATGCCACCAGTTTTTAAGGGCTACCAAGATGTACAACAGAACGTGATAGCCCAGGGAGAAGGAGGCAGGCTACCTGGAGATTTGTGGAATGCAAGTTCCACAAAATTTGATCCTTATTGCTTCCAGCAAGTAGCATGAACTTCTGTGTTCACCTGTATAATTTATTTTACAGATTCAAAGGATGTTTGTATAAAAGGCACTGCTCCCTCCTCCCCCATGCATTTCCATCTTTTCCCCGTCCCACACAATTCTACTGTAATTACCATCAACTTAAAAAAATATGATATCTCTTCTCTTTCCTTCCATGCAGTCTTTGAAGACCACAAGATTGTCTGAAGGTCTTTTAAAACCCCTCTGGCTGTTCTGCAGAAATATTACTATAAAACCACTTCCATTTCCAAGACTAAAGATACCGAGACTACTTAGTGACTCTTTGCATGCCCTCCCCTTCCCCCTCCTGTTTCATCCTATAGGAGCTGGAAAGTGCCACATGGATAACGTCAACTTGTGGGCTAATCTCTGAGGCCTGGTGAGGTGGCATGGGAGCTGTCTGTGCTCAGAGGTACCTCAGAGAGGTCACCCAGGGGTCGGCCCAGGCAGCTGGGCTGTTTGCCGATAGCCGTGCAGGACGGGTTCAGCTTGGGCTGTTTGTACAGCTCCGTACTGCCTATGTGTAGCCATCTTTGCCTTTTGCTGCAATAGAGATGAGCAAAGGATTAAACAAAGGCCCATAGCTAGTTTGCAGAACCACTCAATTTCAAGTGCTGTTTAAATTGCAGGGCAGAAAACCATGTGGGAACTGTGGTTACAGGAAATGGAGCACTCTAACAACGTTTAGTTCTAGTCTTTCTTGAGTGATAATAGAAAGCAACCTAATGGACTTGGGGTGGGGGGACAGCGAAAGCAGAAGTAGCAACATATGTCACGATAACACACTGGAGCAAGAAAACAGTCATAGGAATGTTGCACAGAAGCTAATAACATAGACTCTAGGATCCAGCGGTAAGAGGGGGTCCATTTAAGGTTTTCCTTCTAGGGTTCATTTTCATGATTTCCAGGAAGTCTTGACCCAAGGACAAAGCCTTGTTTAAGGAATCCCACCCACTGCCAGATTCCAAGAATGCCTGGCTCTTTCTGATGGATGCTTCATTTGTTGCTTGTCAGGTTCTGAGCTCATAGCTGAGAACCCTATTTCCAAGTATGGGGTAGTCTAATATATTTCTTTCTCTGCAGGCAGTTCTTGGTGCTGTGGCAATGTGGGAGTCTAGCCAGAAATGTCTGGTAGTGGGGGACTCTGTGATAACTAAAATATCAGGAGAAAAAGTCTTCTAACTTTCTGTCCAAATATCTACTTGAGTTGGGTGTGAGTCAAAAATAAACGCAGGTGTCCAAGGGTTTTATTTTGGCTAAATCTGGTATCTTCTGAGCTTCCTCCTTTTGTTCCTGGACACAACCAAACGCTCCCCTAGTGTTTCTGCATGTGACCATTAATGATCATTTCTCTAACGTGAAGGGCCAGTGGTGACACATTATTTGTCTGAATCACATCTTGGTCCCAAATCATCATTTTTAAAGTATGGATGTAATATACTGTATTCGTTCAGAACAGCCTGTCAGTGGATGGGAATTTTATTTAGCACAGTTTCTCCTTAGTCACTTCAAAACCAAATGGTTGGCATCGTTTCCAACTGTGGGAGAATGGGTTGGCTATGAGTAATCCATTTCCATCTATCAGCCTCAGACCTGGAACTCTCTCTTGGATTTTACAGTCAGAGAAGGAGGGGTTGCAGTAGATTGTTTCCAGAAGCTGGGGGGGAAAATATATGCTCCAGGAGAGTTTAATTACTGGGCTTCTGCAGGGAGTGTTTCAGTTGGTGGGACTGTCAAGGAAACATTGTGATGACAGAAATATAATATAATCCTTAAAACAGACTGGTATCTGGCTTTGAATGGTGCCTTCCATTCCCTGGATTGAGCCAGACATTTGGCCAGGCAGTCAGTTACCCAGCTGCCACTGTTGGGATAAAGGACTCCATTTTCATCAGTTACCATCTCAGATTTCTCTGTGAGTGCTTTAAAGCATCCCAGAGAAAATTTAGGGCACAGGTGGCCATGGGCCAATTCAAACAGCTCCAATGGAAGACACAAATAAACCCCTGGTATGAAGACTGATGAAGTACTGACTACTGGAAGGGTCCTGGTGCATCTGGAAACTGTTAAAAAAAAAAAAAAAGCATTAGAGTCCTACAACATTGATGGGGAGCACTATGTGAGCTATCTCTTTGAAAAAGCAAACACCTCCAGGATTTGGGGTTTAAAAAAAAAGTGAGCAGAACAGCCACATATTTACTGGCTTCAATATGGAATCTACCTCCTGTGGCAATTTTTTTGTTTTAATTTGGTTGCTGTGTGTGACAGTTTGGGCTTTAGAAAGAGCTAAAGCCATATGGTCTATGAATTTCCCTCTCAGCTTAGGTATTTTGTACCCCCTTTAGTGGGCCATCAGGCCAGCCAATAGTCTGGTCCTGGTCTGAAGTCTCCATAACTTGGACAAAAATCTGTACCTATAAAAATGCTATTACAAAAAGCCTGCAGGGACACTTCTGCAAGAAGTGGCCACCTAGCTAGCCAACATTCCTGTGTTTAATCCTTTGTGTGTGGCACTGCCCACTCTGTGATTCCACTTCTAGATTAGGCCGCTGAAGGGATAGAAAATGGAGAATTATTCAAAGACAACGTTCTATAACCTTAAAGGTAGTCATTTTTGGAACCTCATATTTCCGTGTTACACCATTAATGGAATACAGCACAATCAAGCTGGGCTTTGTCACATTCAAGGACTTGATAAAGAACAGGATTGCTAAACCAAGAAGGGAATAAGCACCATAACTTGGAATTTTGCTTTGAGATTTCTGGTTACTTCAACAGAGGCCATGACTGAAAACTATTGCAAGTTCTGAGACGGAATTTAGCTGGTAAATGCCCGGCTGTGAGCTTGCTCATGACTGGTGGACAGCCTCTATGCTCCATTGCTGCATATCTTTCATAATTGCTGCAGATCTGTGAGTGTTCTAAGGTACTCAACAGGGAGTTGCTTTTCATTTGGACCTGGTAGCAATCCCTTGAGTAAATGATTTCTGAAATGTAATTACTAGAATCCCCAGATATTCATGTCTTAGAAAATGTGGGGCAACAGTTTCATTTTGTGACAAGTTGATTTTATTAACAATATTGATATTTCTTTTTATTTATGACAGTAGCACCTGCTGTTTGTAAGAAGTTATAATAGCACAGAGGGGTATCCCCTGCTGTGTCAAGGCATCTGTCCCTCTGTACTGGTGTTCTGTCTCAGTCCCCAGAGAGAAACGCTGTTAACGCTGATAAACATGGATACCTGTATGTTACATCATAAACACCCTGTTCACATACTCATATATGCATATGCAAATTCACACATGCATTCAGAAATATATTTATTTGAATATATATGTGTATACACACACCTACATATATTTCATAGATTTAAAAATAGAAAACAATTGAAGAGCATGACAGTCATCCGTGTATGTACAGTTGACACCAACAGGCAAAGAGAGAGAAGGTAACAGAATTTTCATTTATTTTTTGTTTCCAACATGACTGAGCTTAGTTCTTGTCACCACATCACTACAGTTACATGTGACGTTTACTATTGGCTGTGTCATAAAATCCATGACCAAGAGTCTGACAATTATTTATGTTGATGTCCACAAAACACAGAACTTGCCTGAGCCCTGAGGCTGGTCTTTGCTATTGTAAGGTCTCAAATAGATAGTGGAGTGTGCATCTTTCCTTTGATGCACACTCCACTTTATAAGGCTGAGTTTACAGGACTATCTCTCCATAGGTTGCCTAATGGTATTTGATTAGGGCAAGCTATTGGCAAGAAAGGGGAGTAACTTGGATATGGTCTGGAGTCTGACCAGTTTGTGTTCCAGTAGGAGTAGCTAATGAAATCACTAAGAACAGCATGATATTTTATTTAATTATGCTATTTAAAAATAAAAAAATAGTTCTTTGTTAAAATGGCTCATCATAAAACTACTAATTGCTCTACTTAACTAAATTATGTTCATTTTAGGAAAAAAATAGAAGAACATCTATTAAATGAGCTCTCTGATTACTCTTTAACATTTATTTAATATAAAAAGCCTCTACCCACATCTCGGGAGAATCACCTTTGAATCCTCAGTGCTTCTCAGCTGCAACAATAATTTTGTCACGCACCTGCCAAAATCTTCGCCAGATATTATGATCAGAAGGGCTCTAAATGAAATTTCCTTTTAAGGCAAGTATCCGTGTTGCCCAAAGGACAAGTACATGTCCATTGGCCTTGTCATCCTATAAACCTGCAACAATCCTGATACTGGGACATAATCCCTGAGGCTCAGCACCTTTCTGTCTTGTCCTGTAAGAGCTCACAATCATAGCTGTTGCTTCCACACACAGTGGTACAGACAACATGTCCCCTTGACACATGGGTCCTACATGTGTCGTAGCTCTAATGGCCATCCATGGATTTTAGGCCGTCTCTCATAGTTTAATAGGAAACCTAGAAAAGAAATAAGCAAGGAATAGTGCATTGGACAACTTATTCTCCCAGGACATGAGATTTATTAAACTGGTCCCCAAAAGAAAGCAGAATAATCCTTAGGGCATTAAATCAATTATTTTAAAGTAGAAGCTTGAATATGAGATGGTGTGCCCATGATGGATAGATTCCTTGTCTGTTTACATATTCCCTTATGCATGCAATTATATGTTCACAAATCAGTCACACGCATGTATTTAATCATTTATTTAAAAAAATATTTGTCACTTACTCTGATGCAGGCACCACGCATGAAGGAAAAAACAATGAATGCAATGGACAAACTCAGCATTTATTGGAGTTGGCAGCCAAGGGGGAAGAGACAAATTCCAATATGAAAAATGCTGTGTGGGAGAAACCCAGGGTCCCCTAGCATGTCCTGGAAGTTCAGGGATAAGCTGTATTTGTATTGGCCAACAGTGTTTTAGGCTTATAAAAACAAAATTAACTAGGAAAGAAATAATGACATTTTGCATTTCCTTTTTCTTAAGAGTTTTAAAATGTTCTTAAAAATGTGTTTGAAACTAATATTTTACATAAGACTTAGGAACTCGTCTGAAGTAAGGGTTGAAACTACTTTATCCCAGCTCTTAAGGGCAAAACTGGGAATAAGAAGCAGAACTTGCACTGGATCTTGATTAAATATAAAGGAAATGAGCTAAAAATTGCCAAATAATGCAGTGGCCATCCTTACAGAGTTCTAAACTAGCAGCCCCTGGGAGAATTTTAACAGAGGGTATTTGACCATCTTTAAGATTGTTCTGACCGGACATAGGATCTGAGAGGGATGGATTTAGATTCTGTAATTTTCTGTTATGATCTTTTAAAAAGACGTCTTTGTTGAGTGGCAGGATTTTATTTTAAAATTTCATGAAAACCTTGATTTTTCATCTTTAAATCATCATTTTGTACATGAGAAGCTTTAAAATATTGGGGGAAATGAACTTTAGTTATCATTTAAAAGTTTACAACCACTAAGCATGAATTTAAGAGCTAGCAAAAAAGAAACCATACAAAAAGCTGTAACTTCATTCAAAATACTTCTGGGAGCATTATATAAATCTTGACACATTCTTAGGCATTCTCAAGGAAAATTCTATTAGAAATCTGTCTTACTGTTTGTTATATATATGAAGCACTGTGATTTGATATTCTTAAAGTTAAGAGTAACCTTATATAACCACAGAAGAAAATTCTGTCTAAAAAGATATTTAGGAGCAAAGTAAATGTAAATGAGAGGTAGTTGTGGAAAACGCCTGGCTTCAGCTACCAGCATGGCGATTACAAAGAAGGAAACAACCACAGAAGAAAAAAAGTAATAATCTAGGTTTTCTCCCAACTTTCAACCTCTAAAGCCAAATGGCATGTGAAATGGGAGCCTCTGATAGTGGCTCAAACTGAGACTATCTTCTTTCTCAACTCTTTAATGAAACACATATATAGCTTTTAACATAAAATAGTTGAACGACCAATCTATATTATTTCTTAATAACAATTTTCATAATTTTTTAAAAAAATTAGTGGTTTGGCATTTTAATATGCCTTTTGGCACTTTTGTGCTTCAATACAACCCCAGAAGATGGATAATACATTTAGATGAATAAATTGAATCTTGAAGCAGTGAATTCAACTTGCATAGATCATATAGCAAAGGA